ATATATATATATATATATATATATATATATATATATATATATATATATATATGTATATATATATATATATATATATATATATATATATATATATATATATATATATATTTATATATATATAATTATGTATATATACTTCATGTATAAATAACTAACTTTTATAAAGAACTAACCTTTAAAATAATTTGCAAAGATACTAGTTAACAAACATAGTGTAATCATAACTACCTTTAACCTACTAAGTGTAAAGCCATTACAGGCCTTTTATGTGAAGAAGTAAAAATAGCCATAGCATTTTGAATTGTGTAAAAAAAAACTGTCAAATTTTAAATAATATTTTTCTGTCTTTCAAAAATTTTGAAATGCCTCATTTCGAAAAGTTTAATTGAATTTCTGAAAATGATTCCTCAGATTAGAAATGGTTTCGTGCGAAAAATAAAGCGAATTCTATTTTTGAAAACTAAACCTGCATATCTAAAAATACAAGATTTTAAGTATCACGCGCATTATAATTACTCCTAACAGCTTTACTAAATAGCCTAATTGGTTTGTCGTCATCACGTTTTGTAGGCTTGAACTCTCGAACCACCCAGGCGATCATGACGAGACAGACGTGAATTTGTCCAGGTTTTTTGTTTGCCTGATTGGTTAAACATTTGCAGAGGTCTTTAAAAGTGTTGGAAACTGCATTCGAAAAAATTAAAATAGAATTCAGCAGTGTGCCTCCCTGGCGAGTTAATGAACTTCGTTTTAATTGGATCGCAGCGTTCTCAAATGTGTGAAGTTAATGAAAAGCTAAATATAGTTTTCTCTCCTAATGCTAAAAAATATTTTATAAAAAAAATATTGTAGAGAGTTTAAAAATATATTAAAGGTAAATTTTCTCAGGTTATAAAAAAATGTTGATAAAAGTGAAGATGCATGAAAAAAAAAACCTTACGATTGTAAATATTATCAGTAAAAATATGTTCAAGAAACTCAAATGTTATGTTTTATTACGTCATAAAAGTCTTTTCCCCCACCTGTCGTTTTCAGGTGAGTTTCAGGTTTTATGAGGATATGTTTATTAGGATTGGCAAAATATTGATTCATCCAAATTGCTTTAAATGTTAAACCGTGTTTTTTTTTTTCGTGGCTTTAGCTTTGGGTTAAGTACTTGTAATTTTAGTTTTTTAAACCTTTAAAATTCTTGAGACTTAAAAAAAAACTTTGAAACGACGGCTTTGAAGTTGAATTTAATGTATGTAACGTGTATGTGTGGATGTCTACATAAAAAAATGACATCTACGTGAGCTGTAAGCAGGTGGTGAAATGTCAGGATTATAACAGCAAAAAACTAACTTCTCAACCATGCTCTAGGGTAGGGTCTAACTAACACTACATGCGGGTGCCACGATATTGGACGTTGTGGGCTAGTCTCATGCCAGACCGGTGCCTTGTTCTTATTTTGCGCACCAAACCTCTATGATGGATCACACCTCTATGACTCAGACTAAGCCTCTCTATTACTTAGACTAAGCCTCTCTATGACTTAGACTAAGCCTCTCTATGACTTCGACCAAGCCTCTGTATGCCGAAACACAACTACATGACTTATACCAAGTCTTCCCATGACTTAGAACAAGCCTCCCTACGAGACCGCGCCTCTCCATGAGATAGACCAGAGTCTCCAAACTACGGCCCGCGGGCCTGATGCGGCCCGCGAAGTCCTCTCATCCGGCCCGCGGAGATCTTTTTGTCCAATGAAAAAACGTTTTTTGGTGATGGCTGAGGAACTTTGCCCAGAAAAATCACGATATGTCTGGAAGAAACTGGCCCTCGAACTGAAATTTGATAGTTAATGCGGCCGTTGGACTGAAAAGTTTGGAGACCCCTGAGATAGACGAAATCTCTCCATGAATTAGACTTAGTCTCTCAAAGACAGAGCAAGCCTCTTAGACCAAGTATCCCCGTGACATTGACATAGTATCTCCATGACTTTGTCTAAGTCATGGGGATGCTTGGTGTACGTCATGGACAGGCTTGGTGTATCTCTATGACTTACACCAAGCCTCTAACTAACTTAGACCAAGCCTCTCTATGACTTAGACAAAGCGTCTCTCAAGCCTCTCTATGACTTAGACCAAGCCTCTCTCAAGCCTCTCTATGACAGACCAAGCCTCTCTCAAGCCTCTCTATGACTTAGAACACGCCTCTCTCAAGCCTCTCTATGACTTAGACCACGCCTCTCTCAAGCCTCTCTATGACTTAGAACACGCCTCTCTCAAGCCTCTCTATGACTTAGACCACGCCTCTCTCAAGCCTCTCTATGACTTAGACCACGCCTCTCTCAAGCCTCTTTATGACTTAGACCAAGCCTCTCTCAAACCTCTCTATGACTTACATCAAGCCGCTGTATGACTTAAACCTCACTTCCCTATGTCTAACAACGATCAGCATTAAATTTAAATTAGTGCATCAAATTTTATTACAAAAAATATCAGCATTCATAGACCAAGCCTCTCTCAAGCCTCTCTATGACAGACCACGCCTCTCTTAAGCCTCTCTATGCCTTAGACCACGCCTCTCTCAAGCCTCTCTATGACAGACCACGCCTCTCTTAAGCCTCTCTATGCCTTAGACCACGCCTCTCTCAAGCCTCCCTCTGACAGACCACGCCTCTCTCAAGCGTCTCTCTGACAGACCACGCCTCTCTCAAGCCTCTCTATGACTTAGACCAAACCTCTCTCAAGCCTCTCAATGACTTAGACCAAGCCGCTGCATGACTTAAACCTCACTTCCCTATGTCTAACAACGATCAGCATTACATTTAAATTAGTGCATCAACTTTTATTACAAAAAATACCAGCATTCATAAAAGAATACTAAGATAATAAATAAACCTCAATCTTACTTAAAATAATAATATATGCCTACTTTAAAAAAAAATCAATGTGTTACACAAATAATAATACATTTCATTTATCAGTGTCTAAAGAAGATGGCAATGCCCGATGAAATGTGCTTAATTCGTCTGTGAAAAGAAATGACAAGAAAGTTTTATTTTTGTCTTGGCCAACTATCGATTTTTGTCGCGACATCTATTCATGGCTTAAGCCCAGTAAGAATTATATTAAAACAGAAATAGCTTTCAAAACGGCGACTTACTTTTGCAAGGTTTCTTATAGACTTTGTCTTCCGCGTACTGGGGGTGGGGCACTGGAAACTTCCAGTTGGGGTGGGGGGGTGGACACTGGTTATAGTATATATTTTCTATGTGATATATCTTTTTTCGTCAGGGTGGGGGAGGAGGTGGGAGATGGGTGTCCCTCGGGGATAGTGCCCTCGGAGAAATGATTAAAATAAACAATGTACCTTAACATCACCTCAATTATATTCACACTGGTTCATTGACGTTGGAGAATTTTTTGTGTGAGATATTTTGTATGAGATATTTTGTGTGAGGTATTTTGTGTGAGATATTTTGTCTGTGATATTTTGTCTTAGATTCTATGTCTGAAATATTTAGTTTGAAATATTTTGTCAGAAATATTTTGTCTGAGATATTTGTCTAAGATATTTTGTCAGAGGTATTTTGTGTACGATATTTTGTCAGAGGTATTTTCTCTGAGATATTTTGTCTGGAATATTTTCACTAAGATATTTTGTCAGAGATATCTTGTCAGAAATATTTTCTCGGAGATATATTGTTAAAAATATATTTTGTCTAAGATATTTTGTCAGAGATATTTTGTCAGAGATATTTTGTCAGAGATATTTTCTCTGAGATATTGCGTGCACGATCATCTTATATTATTATTTATACACCAGCACTAAGAGAAGCCAGCATACACAATTAAACATAAGCACAGGCAACGCAAACAAAAACTATATGAAGCTCCAGCGAATGACCACTCAAGATTTAAATAAACGACTTAATTAAAACAAATAAAAGAATATGTCGCGCATTACATAGCTGAGGCATTGGGAACCATGGCACTAAATAAACCGAAATCAGTGTTTCTTCCAGAACGTTTTCTCCGGAGGGGGCACTTGATACTTTAGGGGTGGGGGGGGGGAGGGGGAGGAATGGAGTAAATTTTCCGGGACGCGGACACTGGTAAAAGTATGTCTTTTCTCTATAAAGTCCATTTCGTTTCGGGTTGGGGGTGCGGGTGGGGGGACTGATTGTAGGAAAAAAATCACAGGAAAAAAAACACGGGAAAAAAAACCCAGAAAAAAAGTCACAGGAAAAAAAAGCGATAGACTAACTACTTTATGTTTTATAACTATGATGGACAACTATATTAGCTTAGTTCTTACTGTGAATGTTAACTAGCTTTTGGTATTCAATTTAGCTTATATAAAGATTAAAATAAAGATGTTTCATTTTTAACCAAATTTTCATGTAGGCCCACTCTGGAGACAAACTAAATTACTTTTTAAATTACTTAACTAAATTTACTAAACTACAAAACCTAACCTTGTAAAACTACAGTAGATATACAGTTAATAGTTGCTTTTAAAAAAATAATTAGTTTTACTAAATCGAATATGTATTTCACAATGTATGCATCCTATGACTAGTGGAATATAATTTGTTCATAGGGTCTTTATAATTAGGTGTATATTCAGTGTTTCTTTTAGACTTTTTTTCTCCCGGGGTGGGGGGCGGGTGGGCGCTTGATATTTCCAGGTGGGGGGGGGGGCGGACACTGGTAAATTTATATGCTTTCTTTATTTTGTTCGGGAGGCGGTAGAGTTTCTTTGGGAAGGCTCTGCCCTCCCCCCCCCATTTCGAAGAGATGTCTGGATGAAACTCTGTGTACATTTATCACTGATACTTAACGTAACAATACATAATATAACTTTAAAAGTGTGTTGAAGACTTAATTAGTCAAAAATTCAATTACAGCTCTCTACATTATCATTGTAACATCTAAAACTTAATTGTCTTTTTAAAATAATAGGACTGTAAGACAATTTATATACGGTAAACTAGTTTATTTTGTATTGTCTACTTAAAATGGAGAGTTAAAATATATATCTTTAAAGCTTTTTCTAAAATTAGAGTTAAGAATGTAGTACACAAAAAAGTTGGATGTACAACATAGTGTACCAAACATGTACGCCAGCTCCCATAAAAGTGTACTCAAGTTATAGTAGGCCCCGACGTTCATGCCGGGTATCACGTGCCACACGGCTGTCGTCACGAACCTCGGGACGTTGCACACGGACAGGTTGATGGCAAGAAAGACAACCACTTTAACTAGACGTTTCTCTCTTGGTGATAAGTTGTCTCCCTTTGCGTTCGGTCTTTCAAGCACTGATGAGTTGCCTGCCTCGATGTGTCTATTATAAACTAACCCCTGGTTGGGAAATTTTTCACTCGATTTATAGTTCTTTTCTTTCTTTACACTGCGGAACTTTGATGATTTCTTCAACTCGTAGATCATCCAAAAACTACAGACGAATATAATGGCTTGAGAAATAAGGGACAGAACCACGCCAGCTATTAAATCTGAAATTATCTCCCATTCTGCAGAGTTATCCGTAGACACAATGCGTAGATTCTCTTCTCGCGGGGAAGTTAAATTTTCTGTGTTGTCTTTAAATTGTTCAGTCAAATCCCATTCAACGTAAACCAGGGCGAACATAGGGATATGGATCGTTATATGCACACAGTAAATTGCAACGATTGTTAAGACACAGCGCTTTCTTGTAAACAACACTTTTACCGTGAAAGGGGCGATAACACAGACACACCTTTCAAGGGAGATCACTGTTGTTATCCAGCATGAAATTAAGTAGGTTATGTACCCTGCCCAGCTAAAAATGTACATTCCCAGAGTGTGGCATACGGGGCATTCTGGGTAAATGATGTTGGCCAGAAAAGAACAACTTCCGGCCATCTGGAAACACGTGACCAGGAAATCCGTGAAGGACAGCGCGAAGACACCAACAGACATGCTGTCTTTGAGACCCAGCTTGAGAAAAATCACCATGTTGATGAGGTTGGTCACCGCGCCGACCGTTGCTAGGATACCGTGACAGGAAATGTTGAAGACAATGTACAGCTTCCTGGCGACGTCATCGGTGACGTAGAATTCTTTTGTGTCGGAGATTAGTTTTTCGACGTTGTACACAAAAGGACGCTTCTCTACCATTGCGTGTCTTTAAAGATCTCTAGCAGAAATTCTACAAATTGTCAATCTTTACTTCTTTTTTTACAACTATGCAAGAACTTAGAATTTAATGTTGAGGCTATTGTCATACAAACATACAAAAATTACGTTGGAACTATTTGTCTTACAAAATGATTATATTGTATACTCAGTATTCGATTTTGTGTTTTGGGAAATCGCTGTATCTTTCACGATACTTTATTTAAAGGGAAATTATTCCCTCACACCTCGTTATCTAAAATTAAAATATTTTTTTTTATAAACAAAAATCACATGTACATTTTGTATATAACATTGATTATTTCATTTTTAAAATTATATAGAGCCTATATAAATTACCTTTAATTTAAATACAATAAACATTTTGAAAATAAAATTATTTAATTAACAATAATTTTAGTTAAAATAAAATTTGTATCTACATGTTATCTTTTGATATAGTTACTTTTTTTTTTAATAAAACAAAACCATCTTCTTCATATAAAATTCCCACGTAGTGAGAGGGTTGTGAACGCGAAAAAAACTTTAATTTGTGACAAGCGCTGAAGAGATTATTGAATTACCTTGTGTCTTTCTTCTTTGTTAGGCTACCTGCATCTACATATAATTGAACACATCGACATGGCAGAACAATAGTTTGTGTACCTTTGCTTTGATCGTTGATCTTTTATAATTATTCAAATGCATACTACAAATGTAGTGTCAACTTTTTTTTAAAGAAACATTAACAGATGCATCTTAAAACTACATATTTAATAAAAACTTTGTTTTACAATAAATATATTATAAATATATATCACTGAAACTCTGTGAAATTTTAAATTGAAGTTAGATTTAGTTTTAAGATAAAATGTTTTTAACTTTTGTTTAAGATAATTACAGAGAAAATCTTTAAAAAGACGGAAACGATAACTTCAAATTAAAATGTCTTTATATTCCAAAGGCAATTTTCTTTGTTTGATATAGACAATGTATTGTTTGTGAAATTCGTCATAAAAGTGGGTTTTTTTCTAAATGTTATGGTTAAACAGAAATTTTAAATTGTTATGCTCGATTAAACAGCTGCACATTATATTTTTTTATGCCTCGGGAACATTGTAAGTGTGATGACGCAGCTCAAGCAATACTCATAGATAGGTCAAAGACAGGAGGGAGGTAAAATAGTGTAGATAGATAGTCATTGGTCAAGCCGGACCAATAGAATTGCCAGAACAATTAGGAATAGACTAATGGGTTACGTGTGACGGTCAGCTGAGCAACCCAAGGGTAAGGCAGTTGGTTGATCCAGTGTGTAAGAGAAAGTCGAATGAAAGAAAGCAGTGGGATCAGTGGCGTAGCGAGGTCGGGTGTCACCCGGTGCGGCACTTAATGGTGTCGCCCCCCAAAGGCTTAGCGACCCTTCCCGGTGACAAACATTCAATTTTCGATTTGCACCCTCCACCCCCTCAAACTTTCGATTTGCACCCCCCGCTCAAACTTTCGATTTGCACCCCCCCCCCCCTCCCCGTCAAACTTTCGTTTTGCACCCCTTCCTCCTCAAATTTCGATTTGCACCTCTTAAAAGACTATTTAACATTCGAATGAATCACTTAAGAGGAATTATAATTTTTCTCTATATAGTTTGCTATTTTTTGCCTTAGTGTCACCCCCCCCCCCCCCCTAAATGGTGTCACCCGGTGCGGTCCGCACCCCCCGCCCCCTCGCCTCGCTACGCCACTGAGTGGGATATAAATATTTTCAGGTGATAGTTGAGTTGGACTAGGAGCGTAGATAAGCTAAGTTAAATTTGAGCTAGTAGAAGCAAAGAAAAGGTTAGTAGACAAATTACAATTAAGAATATATTGTTTATTCCAGACTCCGGGAGGGGTGGGGGGGGGGGGTATTTGAAATATTCGGGGGGCGGGGGCACTTTTAAATGTATTCATTTTCTATCTAAATTCCATTTCGTTGGAGCGGGGGGGGGGGGGGGTAAGGACGAAGAGATGCCTGGAAGAAACACTGAACAGTTGTATTATTTGAACGTGTCATTGTGTCGAAATATTTTAAATTGGAGGAATTCTACATGCCTTAACAAAGCTGAGTGAATAAATTCGATCCTCGTATAAGAAAAAAAAGATAATTTTTTCTATTCATAATTAAAAAGCCTTCACGAAATAGGCCTTGTAAGTAGCCGACCAGCTTCTTGTTTTCGCACTTGCCAGACAGATTTTTTTAAAATCATAGGTAAATATTTCTTTTTTATAATATCGGTAAAATATAGTCACTTCCTCTATTGTTATTTAAAATCGTAAACAATGATTATAATAGACTATAAGATGTAGGCTAGCTTTAAAAAAATATAGCCTAAGGTAATACAAGTAGTCTTAAACGGCACTTGTAAAAGTATATGTTTTCCATATAAATTCTATTTCGAAGAGATACCAGGAAGAAACTCTGTTCATGTTAAGTATGTGTAGTGTCTTCTTCTTCTTCTTCGTTCTTAATTTTTAATGTTGGGAAGGATTGAGCCTTATCTGCCAGAGGGCTTGAACTCGAGACTTTTTTTTTCGAATTTATCAACCATGAGCTTAGTCGACTCGACCACGCCTCCAACACAATTAAGGATACGTGTCAACTGGTCATGCGCCAATAAGGCCATTGACTCCGATTTCAGCCTGCTTTTCTTTTTGGGTTTTCTTCCATAGCCTTTGACCAACCAAGAACAAACTACCCAAGGGTTCGAACTCGAGACTTTTCGGTTTAGATACCATGAGCTTTACCGACTCGACCACGCCGACCCCTATTTTAGAAATGACAACTCGATTGAAGGACTGACATTCAAAACACGGCAGTCACGAAAACACTTGCATAAGCGGACGACATTACTTTCTCAGTACTAACAGAAAGACAATACAAACTGTGTTAGGAAAAGTCGACAACTTTGGGAAAGAAAGCGGAGGTAGAACAAATTACTCTAAATTCAAACTTTAAAGAGAAAAGGTGAACGGAGAGATCAAGATAATTACAAAACTGAAATCATAAAAACATATCGACTCTGAATGTGTGGCTTAACCTATACCAGCGACTGCACAAAAGCTGACATTCAACACTTGGGTCGTACTGAAAGATAATTAAAAACCTAAACTGGATGATACATTGCTTTTGGTAATGAAAGGAATGGGAAAGAAGATGATTGCAAACCAGCCTATAAACGACAATATTTATTCTTAAATAAATTGCTATTTAATAAAAATATTAGTTTTTATTTTAAATAATGATGATATGGTATATAAAGCACTTTAAATTTTATAGATTGATTATCGAGAAAAAAAAGAATAATAAATCCTATAATTAACTCTAATTGCTTTTCAACAATTTTTTACTGCTGAATGTTACTTTAAATAATAACGTTGCTTTTTTTTTTTAAATAGTGGTTGTTTCCCTTGCCTGAAAATATTGTGATTTTTTTGTGTGCTTTAAATGTGAAGTAATTAGTACAACTTAGCTATTTACAGTGGTACCTACAAGTTTAATTCATTCAGTAACATTGCGCGTATGTCAAATTGTTCGTATCTCAAAGCACTTTTCGCCATTAAAATCAATTGAAACTCTATTACTTCGTTATAGCTCTCAAACATTTGATTGATAAGTGTATTTACACGTCTTGCATTGTAAACAATATAATATAAGGTAATATAAAGAAATAAACCAAATTTTTAAACTGTTAAACTCAACACCGACGACGTGAGCTTGTGAAAGATGCTGGTGGATGTGTTATAACAGTGTAGGCTAAAGAAAATCAGATAGCTTCACTTCGTTCCCTTACTTACTTTTTCATTTACTGCATGAAAAACAAATACTTGTCTTCCGCATGAAGCATGAAATTATTGTTTGATCTTGTTAAACTAACTAACGATCAGAGCTCTTTATAAATATAAATTCAAAGACCAAAGATTATTTTAAAAGTGCAACATAATGCTAATCCCTACGAAGAAAGAAATACAAAAAAAGTATTTTAATAATCTGTTTGATTTTGTTAATCATTTCAGATAGGACAACTCGATTACAGTACTGCAAAAAAAAAGAGTTCTTTATAAATATGAATTCCAAGACTAAAGATTAGTTTTAAAAAGCAACATAATGCTAATCCCTGAAGGAAAAAAATACAAGAAGTTTATTTAAATAACCAGTTAATCAGTTTAGACCGGACAACTCGATTTACGGATTGCTCACTCAAAACACGGCAGTCAAGAAAGTACTCACATACGCGGACGACACTACTTTCTTAGTACTAACAGAGAAAGCAATGTAGGTTGTTATAGGGTTGGTAAGTAGGTCAATAAACAGTTCTATGGCTCATGCAGGTTTTATTAAGCCGTAGAGCTGGTTGGTGACCTACTTACCAGCCTTATAGGAAAATTGAACAACTTTGGGAAAGAAAGCGGAGGTAGGACAAACACAGTAAATTTAAAATTAAAGAGAAAAGATGACTATAGAGATAAAGATTTCAAAACAGAAATCACAATAACATACAAACTCAGAAGGTGAGGATTTACCAGCGACTCGACACAATACGAAAATAAAATTGGATTAAACTGAATAATAAAATAAACACAATTTGGAAAAATACCAATACTTCAATAGAAACATATTCGCTAAAGTTCCACTAGCTAACAGGTACAACATTAAAAAAAAAATGTTTTCACAAAAAGCAGATTAAAAAAAAATATTTAAAAAAGACGCACGCATAAACATCTGTTACTCCATTTTTAAATACAAAACAAACACAGTGGAAGAATCCGGATACATGATAAAAACACTCAACGAATAGAAACATCTTCCGATTACAGCTCATAGAATCAGGACAGAAACTACACAATCAAGGATTAGAAAATATGTCGTCGGACTATTCTTAATAAACTTAATATAAAATGTCATCGGACTCTACTTAACGAACTTAATATAAAATGTACTAATGTAAAACGTACTAATAATAAACTTTA